GCAGAGCCAGTTCAGCCTGGTGTCGACAGCGAGCGACGAGCAGGGCCGCGGCAAGGGCCTGAGTAAGGAGGACATTAGCGGGCCTCTGTATGGCGCCAGCACCGTTCACTAATCCATGCCACCGTTCACAATCCATGACGTCAGCACCATTCACAATGCAGAGCCAGTTCAGCCTGGTGTCGACAGCGAGCGACAAACGGCTGTGGGAAGGACCTGAGTAAGGAGGACACTAGCGGGCCTCTGTATGGCGCCAGCACCGTTCACTATTCTTTTCAGCTGCTCTCATTCTTTAAAGAATATGAATTCCTGCAATCACGAACGTTTAAGTCAAAAGCTGCTCTCATAGATTATAGCCATTTGTCAATCCAGTGCTGGATGAGGGCAGCATGCCCCATGCTGCGGGGGTCCTGGGGTTTTTAGACTATTTGGCTGCTCGAATTGTCCGCGTGATAAGCCGCCACTTTGTTGAGCTATCATTTGTGTCTTCTAAAGAAGAGCTATATAGCTCAGTGGGCCTTAGCTGGTCAAATAAAACAAGTTTAGTTTGAAGTTTAATGGTCGTCATCAGGACAGCTTGTGTTGTGTTCGAAATGTCGTGGTTTTTGTTTTATTTGTATTATTTTTATTAACTTTATTATTATTTTTATTATTGAAAGAACCAATGAATATCAACTCCTGCAGTCACGAAAGTTTTAAGTGAAAATGTATCCATAATACAGGTTTTTATTTTTTTACAAATCGAAGCTTTGCTCTCCAACACACTGGTGTGCTGTACCAGTAATGAATTAACATGTTCTGTTTACGTGACAAACCTTACTAACTGGCTGTGTCGGGTGGTGGCGTGGCGGCGGGTTTAACGACACATTTATATATTTACACGATCTAACCCCAAAAAACGTTGCATTATGGATATTGTCGCGAAGGCCTACGTGTTATACATACATACGTGGAGTACAGGGTGATTGGCCCACTTTGTCACGCGCACAATTGGAGTCCATCGCATCGGTCATTGAAAAAAATGAAGTGGGCCTGAGCAAGACACGCTGCAAGAAGGGCTCGCGGGGGGGGCAGTTGGTCAGAACTATCCACGGAGTGGCAGCCAAAGTCGAGACCGCACGACAGTGAGAGAAGTTCAACATACAGACACAGATATTGTGCTGGCGAGAGTTTGTGCCGCCCCCTCCCCCCCTTGACGCCTGCCACGTCTGTGCCGCACGCAGGGATGTCCGAGCAGAAGCTGTTCGCCGCGCTGCTCATCAAGTGCGTGGTCCAGCTGGAGCTCATCCAGACGATCGACAACATCGTGTTCTTCCCCGCCACCAGCAAGAAGGAGGACGCCGAGAATCTTGCCGCAGCCCAGGTGTGATTCGGGGTCACGATGCGGTTCAAGAATCGGTTCTTGTTTTAGTTTTGTGCCGTCTGCCTTGGGGGTTACTGCTCGTTTGATTCTGTTCGGCTGAAGGGTTCGTCCGCGGTTAACTAGCGTATGTATTTTGCATTAATTGCAAGTCAGCGATTCATACGCGCGCATTTTAACGCGTGTTCCCTGAATATGAGAATTGAAGCTTGTTCTGTGAACATGGAGAGCTTTATATTTAGCAATATTTTCCATTCCTAACGTGATATTTTTTTGTTCAAATTGCACGACTTCACGACTACTTTATTCTATTTTTGGTGACTCGGGTCACTCTTGCAACAATTGAGACTCCTTCCTCGTCTCTCTTTGACTTCTCACCCGAGTTAAACGAAAGCAACGGGAAACCCGAACTTTGCCCGTGACTGATGTCGCTTTGCCAATTGTGCGATCGCAGCGCGACTCTGACGCGGACGTGCACATCGACACGGAGGACCAGGGCATGTACCGCTACCTGAGCTCCAACCAGCTGTTCAAGCTGCTCGACTGCCTCTCGAGTCCCACCGATTTGCAAGGCCTTCAACGCCAGCCATGAGCAGCGTACCGCACTCTGGAAGGCTGGTAGGGCCTCGCACGCAACCAATGTTTTTTTTTTCACCTTCTTAGTTTAATGCCCGGCAACGCCAACATTGGCCTGCGTTGGCAAAGCTGCTCAAGGCCAACTGTTAGTCCATGAGCCAGAGCAGAGATTGGTACCACTTGAGTTAGAAACCTTCCCTAAGAATGTCATGCTTCCGATCGTTGTCCTGACGTGAGTAGGGCAGAGAGCCACTTTTTTCCCATTCTCCTACCCTGTGAGCACCTGACCCTCGGGGCTTTTGTCAGCGGAATATCTGTGCCGCCCCCCCCTTGCCGCTCGCTCTCTGTACCGGGCTCTTGTTCAATAATAATAATTAAATAGCGATAAAAAACCTTAGTTGTATCTATGCATTTAAAATGTCCAATAAGGGTGAATTATTTGACAACCCACTCATTTCAAATGGGTATCACGGTTCACTGTTGTTTGGTCGCATGAAGAAATTAGAACCACCAATATTATGCCGCTCACGTGGTACCGCCAAATTGGGCCTTGGTTCGTGGACTGTGTTGTCTGCTTGTGGAAGTGCAATTGAGAAGAATTTCTCAGTCGTTTTTAAAATAATACTTTACCGCAGTGGTTCTGAACCTCTACTGCAGTCTTGCACCCCCTGAAGGGGCTTCTCGCACCCTAGGACTGTGTGCACCCCAGGTTAAGAACCATTGCTTTATCGTATGAAATTAAAACTAGGACCGGTCAGATTTTTGGTTCACTTTGTTTGGTCCGATTAAGTTATTTGTTGAAAAATCGTTTGGAAAATTGATAGGAGGGTTAAATATATATATGTATGTCTTAAAAGAACAGCTTATTCTTGTCATAAATAGGATGGAATCTTACACATCATTTATGTATATGTTAATGAATGTGTTAAGGCCACGGTAAAGAGTGTTCAATGAGAGGAGAACACTACATATATGAATTGGATTTACTAATGTACAGCTATATTAGGTAAATGATGTCACAAATGCATACATCGCAAACACACATGCCAGTGGAGGCTGTTAAATGGAAACAAATTGGTTTAGGGAAAGGGGAAATCACTCGATACCAATAAAAAAATGGAAATTTTGATTAAATCAGCTATAATGATGTCTCCTATGTCTTAATGGAAACCCCGGTGCGTACTTTATGGTTGTGCTTGCGTCACGCCATTGTATGTGCATGTGCGTGCTTGTATGTGTTTCCGTGTGTGTGTGTCTGCGCTCATGTGCCTGTGCGCTATGAACCTGGTGACCCGGGTTTGATTCCCGCTCACGGCAAATTCCAGTGACGATTACTTGAACCGGTCCTGGGTCCCTCCTAGGTCGACTCGCCTCAAATGAGTACCTGCTGTGATGTGTAAACATCGCAAATATTCCAGGTGTCGCCCGATGGCCGGTCAGCGTGTTCGTCCGTGCGAACCGACACGTCGAAGGAGCGCTGCGACACGGCATCCTGGCCATCGACGGCAGAACGGGAAGGGCAGGGAGTGGGAGACGGAAGACGAGGGATGGGTCAGGTCGGTCAACTTTATCGGGTCGTGCCCGCAAGCGGCAATGCTGCCAGGCCAGACGAACGTGACTCATGCAACGGCTCTCGCCCTTCCCCGGGGAAGTTGCTTACCAAGGGCTTTTCGCTGCCATCGCCGTGAGACGGAGAGGACTCGCCCTCCACACCCACGGGTCTCCACGTCAGCAACCTGGCGGCATCAACAACACCAAAGGATTCTCGTTTGAAACGAAATGCACAACTGGTGACGGAACGACGGGCAAAGGGGAAAACACGCCAAACAGGACAACTGCTGTGGAGATGGAGCGACGATGCGATCCACCCGTGAAAAGCGGTGACATGGATTGCGCCGCTGTAGGACTGCGAGGGACGGCAATGGTGTGAGGACTTAATCCAGCAGTGGATGGACAATGGCTGCTGCTGATGATGCATAATTAAGCTTAATAAGCTGCCACAAGCACAATACTGGTAGTTATCAGTGAGGTTTATGTATTTGTACTGTTTATAAAACGACAATTGTTCTATCACAGGTTGCCTTTGCTCTGACTTTGGTTAACAATAATAATGCTCGTGACAATGGTTGTGATGATGGATTGGCACCGTAGAGTGCACAAGTGCACAGGTGGTCGTTATCTCAGTAGTTAACCCATAACGCCGAGGCTAATTCCGCGAGCTCCTGCCAGCGAGCCTTATGAACACCGAATGTGGCCTCCAAGTGCACCTAGCCTGGCACAAGTGCCTTGGTGGCATCTTCAATTGTCGTCGTTGATGAGAACGCTGCCGCTGCTGCCATTGCTGCCGCTGTTAATAACGATAATCGTGATTACAATTACGACGATGGCAATGCGTCGCGAGCACGTGACCAAATAAGCTTGGCTGGTTGTGCGCGTGTCTCACGCGTTGGGATGGTGGTCTTGAAGATGTCGAGCATGCAGGAGCACGTCTTGTCCCACGTGCTCGGCGAAAACTTCTCTCCGTTGAGAATCACCACGTTCTCCAGACAGTTGGTGCCCGAGCGAGCCAGCTGCTCATTGTCTGTAAGAAAGCAAAGATTGATCCACGGGGCACACGTCGACAATACGCACACAAGTGAAACGTCAAGTCTTCAGCGTCAATGTACATTGAGAAATTACAGAATCAGAATATTTATTTATACTGGAGGAATCTGATGAGCTATGAAGCTCTTTTTCACAGATGTCTAGAAGTGGGCAGGTAAGAGCGTCACAACAACAAACAGTACAAAAACACAATAGTAGTGCAAAGTACAAGATAATAAAATAACCCAAACACATACAAATAAACTAAACTATCCCCATCCTACCAGGCAAAGCCCACTGAGGTATTAACTTATTATTCAGAAGCTTAAATCAAATGCTGGTCGAGCGAAAGAAAACCTTGTTCCTCAAAACATTACAAAATATCCAGCAGCGTGCACCTCTGATCTTTGAGCTACTGAATGGAGATTTAACAGCAAGTGGTATGTGCTCAAAACAGCATGCCGCTGGATGCATTGTAAAGCATTAGTTAATAAGGCTGGAAGCTCAAATCCATAAAAACCCCACTATCTTTACAGTACTTAAACAGGCCGAAAGACGCCATCGCCGGTCAAAACAACAACAAAATTGTAACATATTTCATGCCGTGGCACTCAGTGGCTCAGGTTGACGCTCTGGGATCGTCAACGCGCGATTAACTGCGCGTTCGGCAATTGGGGCCATGCTGCTATTGCGAGCTATAAAGCCGCGGGGAGAAGTGCATCCTTAAAAACAATGTTCAACCTCAATGGTAAACGGTAATTGTGCCCGAGGGGGGGGTGCTCCCGGCATCCTAACGCGTCCACGTGAAAGTGCCCTGGACTTCAGCGATGATCCCCCGTGCGATGCGGATATGGGGAGCAATGCATCACGTTACAACGGCACTTTCATCTGTAAGCACGAAACAACGTTTTTGCCGAGCGGCATGTTCTTTGTCCTTACGGCCTGTGGCCACAAGACGCCTATTGCTTTGAAACGGCTGGCAAATGCAATTTATCAATCACTGCAAACATCTTGTCTTCACTAAGTATGAGAGGGGAATGTCGGCATCACATTCCTGTGCATTACAATTGGAAAATGTGAAGGTGTGGTCTGCTAAGGTTATATCTGTGAAATATTGGACGTATGAAATAGCTTTATAGCTCATCAAATTCCTCCGGTAACACATTCCTGCGGAGGGAGCTGGTAGGAACGTTGGGTTTCTCGGTCAATGGCCAGGGTCAAAGGCGGCGTGGTGTATTCTGCAAATATGGCCGCTGTGAGGGCGGGCACAAGCCGGCGTGAGTAGGTTAAACGTTGAGTTTTATAAGGGCACCACGGGGTGACAAACCCCTCCCCACCCAGCCCCACCCCTCCCACCCCCACCCAGCCCCAGGGTGAAGGAGCGACGCTCACAACAATGAATAGAGCACTAGGTGGCTAAAACGCAGCGAGCTGGTATAGTGGGGAGTGCAGGGGGTGTATCTTCCAGTTATCATGGTCAGTTAACCCATAATGCCTGGGTCTGTCCTCGGATTTGCTGTAGCGATAATTCGTCACTTCATTTTCATCATCATACATACATGCTAGCAGAGTATTGATGATACTCTGAACTTCTTTCACACCATACATAGGCAACCGTGCTAATCGGAGGTGCGAGAACACAGAGTCAGCAGTGCTGTAGTAGTTCTGGGTATAATGTTTTATCGTCTCTTAGTGTTGTTTTGCTCTGGGGGACGGACATTCTTGCATCAGCTCATTCGCAACCACGTGGCCAAATTACGGTCTGCCATCATTCTACCTATATTCTTGGTTCTTTCGGTAGTCGCGTAGAAGAGAAATAATAAAAATAAACCAATTAAATTCTCACAACGTTTCGATTGCAACACAAGAAATCATCATCAGGTGTGAAAACCACAGCAAGAAAACCACAGCAAGAAAAATTGCTGTGGTTTTCACACCTGATGATGATTGCTTGTGTTGCAATCGAAACATCGTGAAAATGTAATTGTTTTATTTGATGTTATATTTTTTATTTTATTATTTCCCTTCTACGCGACTTTACCGAAAGAACCGAGAATATGAATCCCTGCAGTCACGAAAGCTTTAAATCCAAATCATTCTCCCTCTTTACCAAGTAAAGCACCTAGCCCCGGATGAGCACCGCAGCACCGCCGCTGTGGGTGGCAAACGACGGCTGCTGCCGCCGCCGCTGCTGTCGTCGTCGCCGCGTGCATTTTACAGACCTTGCTGCACACACCAGTAGAGCTGCGAGAAGATGTCATCGAGCAGGATGTCGTCGAGCACCTCATAGTACTGCGTGAACACGTCGCAGATGGCGTAGAGCGCGTGGTTGCAGGTCGTCGTCATCCATTCCGTTTTCTGCTCGGTGGGGCGGGGAGGGGAAATAAAGACGTCGGTAGCGACGACGCCGGAAGAGGGACAAACGAAGCGTAAAAAAACCCATCAGCAGCGACACTGGGCAGATAAGAATGGCGTCGCTGGAGGTTAGCTGTTATCGAGCGTGCAGAGCAAATAAACACCGTTGCGTTCACCAGCCACGTTGTAGAACTGTAGAAGGCTGGCGAACTTAAACATGGGCATTAATGAACAACTTTACTCCAATCTTATTTGTGGATTAAGAGAATATGCTGCAGTTTGAAATGTAACCATATAGGCTGGAAATTTAAATAAAACATACTTTGAAGTGTAATCCGCTCAACACAATACAAAAAAAATTCAGCCACCACATGGATTTTGAAAAATCGTCCAAAAAAATCAATAGTCCCATCCCAACATTCTGTCCAAAATCAATAATTAATTCACAGACGCCTGTCTGGCACGTCAAAGCAGCACGCGTCGTAAATGGTTTGATAAATCACACCGTTATTTTACGACATTTATTTTTAACGAAAACAGCATAATGTAAGAGAAGTGCTGTCTCCCAGGCTGCCGTTTAAACGCGAGTGACGTGGAAGTCCAGGAGGCTGTGGATTTCACTTGGTGGCGTATCCAGTGGCAGTGATGCGAACCTCCCTCCCCTCCGCAATATCTTTCCCGCTGTAACATTTCACCCATGTTCTGTCCAATCAACTGCTGTGTGGAGAAGCACAGCACTGTGATAATTAAGTGACTGTGGCCAACGCTTGCAAAAATGCAAATTACAAATATTGACGATCATGACGACGATCGCTTTGTGTTGTGATCGAAACGTCGTAGGTTTTTTGTTATTTTCTTTTAACCTATCTACGTGACTTTACCGAAAGACCCAAAGAATATTAATTCCTGTAGTCAAGAAAGCTTTAAGTTTACAAATATTGTCTTTTGGAGAGGTTGGTATGCGCTGCTCTCATGTTGAAACTATGCAAATGTCAGACCGAAGTAATGTCTCCTTTCAAATGTGTGTTTGAATTGGTCTCTCTAAACATGCATATAAAATAGATACGCAAACATTATTTGTGGTTTAGTGAGCTTTGGAACCATATGCTATGTATACTTAAGTCCTTTTTGTCAACACTCCACTGTGGGATGAGGGGGCCTCCCCCCATAGCTCGCGGGTCACTGGAGTTTATTTGACCACACTTCAGGGTACCGGTTAGTGCGGGTCAGTGAAGTTGAGCAGCATAGGCGTGGGAGCATACGAGTACAGCACAATAATAAATGTGCTGGACTGCCCCTCTGCAGCAGCCGATAACCACCTGGTTGCCCATCCAAGTATTATCCAGGCTCAGCCCTGCTGCTTGAATTCCGAGATCTGACGAGATCGAGATCATTCCGGGCGCTTTGAGCATAGCCGCCTAACCGCCCCCCCCCCCCCCCCCCAAAATGCAATGATCTTTAAACAATGTAAACAAATTCTAGATTTGAAGCTTTCGTGACTGCAAGATTCATATTCTTAGGTTTTTTCGGTAAAGTCACGTAGGTAAAATATTAAAATTAATAAAAGTAAAATAAAAATAAATAACATTAAATAATAGAATATATTTTATTTTTATTTAACTTTTTATTAATTTTAATTTTTTACCTACGTGACTTTACCGAAAAAACCTAAGAAAAATGTAAAACAAAGAAACATGAAGCATGCCACTATTTGTCAATCTCTTAAGCCTGCAAAAAGCTATGGTTTAATAACCTCTGGATACGCCACCTGCCCGATTGATTGTTCACCTGACCCATCACCTCAAAAAGTTGGTGAAAAAGATGTTTCCCCTTACGCTTTTCACCTCTGTCTGCTGCTCGGGCAGCTTCATGTTGTCAAAGATGCGGAACACGATTCGGAAGAGGTCCTGCCACCAGTGCTTCTCAAACGTGTGCCCATATGTCTTCATGATCTCAAACATCACCGTCAGGCCCCTGCGTAAAAAGCGTGGAGAGCCACACACATTGTAGTCGACGATTCAAACAGTCACCGTTCATACGCGAGCCTCACACCCATCATGGAATGGTTTACGCGAACACTATTTTCCCCGTTTAACACGTAGGCTTTCGCGACCAATATTATTCATAATAAACGTTTTTGGTTAGATCGCGTTATTTATAACAATAACGCACATTACAACTGATTACTAATCTACAACTCACATCGTAACAATTGCCTGATTACCAATCTAGTATATAATTACAATAACCCCCCCCCTCCGCCTCACATCGTTGCACCTGATGAGTTAATGATGATGTCACCTGCTGCTGCTGCTCTATTTAAGACCGGGAGCAAGAGCAGAGCCTCACCATTCTGGCGAATTGCCCGATGATGCCTGATGCAATTACCAGCGAAACGTCGTACTCAAAAATGGTAAATGTTGTCGTTTCACTCTTAACACATCGGTGGGCTAAAGTAGTGAACTATTTGTCTTTTGTCAACGTGACGCTTTTTTGCTGATTGGCCGTGTCAGGTGGTGGAGGGTTACGCCACATTTATAAATAACGCGATCTAAACCCATAAACGTTTATTATGAACACTATTTTCCCCTCAACGCAAAGCCAAAATTACAGGGCACAAACCTTAAAGCAAGGTTCTCCACTATATATTTTGTGACAGGCCACACAAAATAATTCTGAGCCCCTGATTTACTGCAGGAGGCAAGCGGTTCCATATTTTCATCAAATAATCCAATTAAATATTGCGCAGTACATTTCAAGCCAATAATTACTCCAACATTCACTCCTTGCCCTCCATTAACCGTGCAACTCATAGCCGATAGACACAACCCGTGTCAATCCAAAGCTGGATGCCCGTCTCCCCACGTGGAACGGGTCGTGGGAGGTTATTTAAAAATACTAAAGCGGGCTTTGTCAGCACGGGTTTAGGATGGTAGGCAGCAGAGAAGTGGGAGCGTAGCTAGACAGCACAGGGGTGGGGAACCTTTTTTCTGCAAGGGCCATTTGGATATTTATAACATCATTCGCCAGCCATACAAAATTAAATTTATGTTGCTATGAAAAAAGCTTCTAGATATATTGCATTTAGAGTCGTGCGGTTGCCTTGGCAGGGCCAGACCAAATGATTTTGCGATTTTGCGGGCCTAATACGGCCCGCGGGCTGAACGTTCATGGATTTTGCTGCACTGCCATCTGCTGTCCATAATGCAGCCCCGCAAATATTTATAACATCGATCACATTTTCACAACAGGTTTTTTGGGTTAGATCGCGTAAATATATAAATGTGTCGTTAAACCCGCCACCACCCGACACAGCCAATTAGTAAGGTTTGTCACGTAAACAGAACACGCCAATTCGTTACTAGTGCAGCACTAACCGGTGTGTTGGAGAGCAAAGCCACAACATTTACAATCAGAGTACGACTTTTTGCCAGTAATTACAGCTAGCTTCATCAGGCGACAGCCAGATATGTGGAAAAATCCTCCTGTTTCGTTCGTTAAATAGAGAGGTAGATGTGATGAAATCACTTTTGACCTCTTCTTGCGCGAAGTAGGGGGGGAGATTATTCATTTATATGGTAATCAACGTACATTAAAAGCATGCACATTATGCAAGCCCATTGTTCCGTATGAATGTTGAACTTTCGCACAGTTCGTACATAGCCAACCATGCGAATCGGAGAACCTGCCATGGATGGTGGTCACTATGCACAGGCTCAACACCGAAACCCTCCTTTAGCAATCCGATAAGAACGGGCGCATCGCGGGCGATCTGGTCAAGGATCATAGTCAACATATCTTCGTCATCATCAAATCATGGAAGATGGCCCCTTCAAGCTACAGCCGTCTCGACTTGTGATCCTTGATGTAGTTCCTCCGATTAGCACGGTTGGCTACGTACGCTGCAAAAGAAAGTTCAACACACATACGTACACCTGCCGACTCCCACGTGACAATCGTGCAGAGCTAACCTGGTGCGGACGTCCAGCTTGCAGCGGTTGATGATGCAGGAGAGCTCAAAGAGGATGGGGAACCACCCTCGCACCCACACGCGGTCCTCTGGCACCACGTTGATGTCGTCGCTCGTGTGCTCGCGGAATGTCTGACAAGAAAGATCAAGAGCCGCGTGCAATTAACCCATTAACCCAGGGTGGGGGTCCCCCGTTCACCTGTGGATCTCGGAACACGCAAACGGTTCAGCGTTAGTTTTATTTAGGCGTAGTAGTGCCGCTGTTTGTTGGCACCGCAAAAAACTGTAGCGACACAACCACACTCCATGACAGCTGTCGTCAAACTGTGCCACGCACCCTCCCACATGTCTGTGAGGGAGCCTCGGTAAAGATAGCTATTTTATTTGAATTTTCCACTTTGATGACGTACACGCAACGTACGTCATCGGATCGGGGACAGGGTTAAGAATGTGAGCAGGTTGATCCATTTAGAAATACCCCAATGACTTCCAATGACCCTCTCTCAACTTTCTTCCCAACAGATTAATTTGGTGAAAGCAATTGTTTGCTCCATATATCCAGGAGACACTGAGAATCATAATCAGAATATTTATTTACACTGGAGGAATCCGATGTGCTACAATAAAGCTCTTTTCCACAAATGTCCAGTAGTTGCACAGGTGGTCGCATGCAGCACCTTGCGCAATGTACGGTGGTTTTCCACCGAGGGTCCCCCAAGCCTAGACTTGCCGGTTGGGGAAATGGAAAGAATGACATGGAATGTGATGTACGGTGCTTTGAGATGCTGAGGCATATAAGCCAGTGCCACTAGATATACGTGCTAAATAAAAATCCTTAAAATATTTATCACTCCACGGTACTCTTCGGGAAACTGCAGTGGCCTGGCCATTGTAAGCAGGCTTGGCCAACAACGTTGCAAGAAAGTGTGCCGTGAAAGAGATAAAAGAGGAAGGACCCAGATAAAATTTGGGATGCCAAACATTGGCAAGCGGGGTTACGTTAAACCACAGCTGTCTATTAAGTCACCGTAGAACGTCAACCGTGAGAAGAGACGGTCAACATGCAGCTGTGACCCACCGGTTAAGAGAATTACTTATAATGCGGCATTCGAGGACTTCAACAAAGCCATGCTTACACGGTGCGGCTGTAGAGATTGGGTGTTTGTATTGCCCATTGCCATTGAGCCACTTTGACAGCGATCGATTGATCCCTGCCACGACCTGCTCAGACTACACAAGAATTATGAACGCGTGCAGCGTTCTGCAGGTGAACGCCAAAAGGCCTGAGGGTTATTTCTTTTTTTATCGCATGTGCTCAGAGGAAGTCTGAATATAAGTCAAATTAAATGTTTCAATCCGTGTGAATGTAATATCTTTACCACCACCCCATCTCTGCAACTATATTTGAACTCTTTTAAAAACCGCCATCCTCAAGTGTCAATGTAATTTAATTGGGAAGACCCACTGCGAATGCACCACCTCCAAAAAATATCTTCAAACATTTTCCTTGCAATAATTCCAAGCTTGTCTCGCACATCCACCGTGATGACATGGGCCCAGATGCTCAGATGCATTTACTTTACACAACAGACGGCGTGTGCGTCGCACCACAAACAAGCAACCTCTCTCACTTGCTTTAACACAAAGATGCAGGCGAAGTGTGTGTGTGGGTGTTTGTGCAATGTCATAATCACAATAAAAATAATTCATACAGAGCCGTAACAAGGCAAACCATTAAGAGAGCGCTGAACAAACAACAAAAACATTAAACATGAATCATTAGTCGAGTGCAATGAGAAACAGAGAGAGCGTCACTTGTGGCTATTGACAAGCAGCGTAGTTTTGACTGAGCTTTTGAAGCAGCAGCTCGAACAGGCAGTGACACACCATTGCCGGCACGTGGGTCGGCAAATGCGTAATTGTGCGTTGTGTGAGAGGGTAGCGGTTAGCGCAGCTATGCTACAAAACCGGCGACCCGAGATCGATTTCTGCTCACGGCCAATGCTGGTAACGATTACCTGAACCGAGCCTGGGCGTCTCAGAGGTAGACTCAGCCTCAAATGAGTACCTGGTGCGGTGTGTAATCATCACCACTGGGGAGACATAGGCGGCCGGGCGTGGTGCTGGCCACCCACCACCCGCTTCGTGTGCCCTGCCAGCCTTCATAGGTGCTAGTCGCTAACAGCACTTTCCCCAACAGTCTGTTCAGGCTATAGGGGGGATCTTTGTCTTTGCTCTCACCTGTGGCCGCTCAGACACGTATTTGGCACAGTGCCGGATGAGGCGGATGGCCTCCATGCTCGTATCGGGGAAGGCTGCGTTGCAGGCAAATTCCGAGAGGCACTTGACGGCATCCTGGAACGAATCGATGGTGGTCGGGAAGTGCCTCTCGAACACCGTGGCTGGGGCAGGACACAGGAGGCGGGAAGAGACACAAAAATCAAGAGGACGGCGGTGACGTACGGTTAACGAGAGAAATTTACTTGAGGTTGACCTGCAGAACGTCTAAAGTCACCAACATCAATATGTATAATAATGGACTCTTAAGAGATTATCTGCGCACCAATTAGCCAAATGGAAAATAACTTGAAGTGAAGGTGTCTGCAGCTGCTATAGCCACTGTTACCACGTCGTTGGAAAGAAATTATTTGCTAAGTATTTAACGAAGTAACAATTATAGTGGTTGGCACAGGAGGGCAGACGTTCAAGAGGCCTTGTGAAAACGAGTGCAGGGATGCGTTGATGAAGACAGAAGATGGGAAGAGTAAAAGGCATGGAGACGTTTTTCCATCCACCAACCTAAGCAATGCCTGTACATGACGACGAGTGATGATGATCATGATGATGGCAAAGTACAGTATCTTAGTCGTAGAAAGCTATTGCATATTTTCAGGTTCGTGACATTTTCCAACGAATGGTGAACAATTGCACACACAGACCCTGCTACAAAGCACAAGCGTGCATTACCATAGATGTAATATAATGACGCGTTCATTTGTAATTGTTCACGCGCCTTAAGAACTATTTTGTAAAATGAGCTCCCGGATGGGGGGGGGGTGAGGGGGGAAAGCGGTTTCACAAAAACGCTCAAGTGGAGTCAAGCAGCTGCATAGCTCGGTGGTTCAAGGCTCGGATGGTGGCGGCGCTGGGCGTGAGTGAGCGATCCAAGTGAAAGCTTCGGCCCTGAAGCAGGCTCGGAGGCCCCTGGATTCGTGAGCTCAAATTAAAATGCTAATGTCCATGACAAGCTCACGAGCATTATAAGACAGGTAAGGCCCACTTAGCTATATAGCTCTTTAATCAGAAGCAACCTGGCCACAAATAATAGCTCAACGAAGTGGCTTATCACATGGAAATGTAAAGCAGACAAATACTCTAAAAGCATGCTTCTAAATGTGGAGAAAAAAACTGGAGGACCTGGAGAAAAATCCCACACGACCACAGGGAGAGAGACACGCAAACTCCAAATACACAGGCATCAGGGTCGGATCGAACCCACGATCTCCTGCATACCAGGCAAAGTAGTTAACATCTGGCCACCATGGCAGGTTCATTGGCACTCCAAAGGACTCGCGCTACCACTCTGGTGTCAGTGAGTTTTGCGCTACGCACTGACGATGTGGCTGGTGGTCTGGAAGGCGAGCTCCACGATGCTCTCGTCCTGGTCAGACGCTGCCAGGTGGAACACGGAGAAGATGTTCTTCCAGCCCGAGCGGATGTTGGCCGCTTGCGAGTTCACCATCTGGGTTATGCAGCGCACCACCATGTCCCGCACCGTCGGGGACCTGCGCGCCACAGCCAAAACAACCGGGTGTTAGTGACATTAGTGTGAAAGAAAAAGGAAATAAGAAAAAATATATAAAGGCGCAGCCCTGCAATTGCTTGTTCAAGTCACTGCTATTCGAAGGGTCTCCACGAGAGGGTGTTTTAGCTTACCCAGACACAGTCTCACCCCACCCACACGCGATATGCAGATCGACTAAGTGTAATGTAGCCATTTACACCGCGCGGCGGACAGAGACTTGCACCGTTGTTTGTTAAAATGCCGCACAGGGAGATAAAGTCGGCGACCTCTGGATTGCAAGCCCAGTGTGCGGTAATACACCGTCGCTGTATCCACCTCCCATGCATACAAACCCTTGCAGAAATAAAAAAATCTAAGCAATGCAAGTCATTCAAAAGTTCAACGACAAGGGTGCTTCCTGACCGGTTCCTCTTCATGATGTGCTCGAAGGGCCGCAGGAAGTCCTTCTGGAAGCGGAAGTTGGCAAGCTCGCCTTCTCCAGGAACTTCATGGAGAGCTGCCGCAGCGAGTCGAGTGCGAAGAACGCCACGTCCTCGTTGGGGTTGCAGCCGACCTGGAGCGCAAAGGCACGTGACGCATGTGCCACGCCGGAGGTTGGCACGTGTGACCGCTAAGAAGCACTTAATCGTCAACCCTCCCCTGGGTTCAATGTCATGTTGAACAGCATCAGAACATCGCATGGCAGTTGACGCCATCTCCTAAATGAAACATAACACGCAACATATTGTGGCCAAACATCCCGACACCGAAACATTACCTGCATATTATATATTCAACTACAATTACTCGTGGCTACGTCGCTGTTACTGAGCAAATGTTGCAGGATCTTCATGATAAAAATGGTCTTGATACTCAATGAAGCTCTCTTGGGAAAATAAATGGAATAAGACAGCTACATAGAGCTCAGTGGGGTCTTACTTGGCAAAATAAAACGTATTTTTCTTGATGGATTTATATATATATTCATATAAAAGATTTCGATTTAAAGCTTTCGTGACTGCAGGTGACATTTACCGAAAGAACCAAGAAGACATATAAAAAGATTGTACCGGGGGAACGCGATAATTCAACCGGGCGGCAAGTAGCGGAGTAAGCGACGAACGGCAGTGGCCAGGGTTCGGGGAGGAGGCTTAGGGGGGCGCGCGCACCTTGTTGAAGTGGTCCCCCACCACCTCCCAGATGCGCGACCACTGCAGACGGATGCGGCCCATGTTGTAGTAGGAGATCTCCACGATCTTCTGCAGGCTAAACATGCGCGGGTGGGACGGCGACGCCAGCTCGTCCATCGACACGGCGCACAGGCAGCGCACAAAGTCCACTGTGGGGAGCAGACGCAAAACCGTTTTGAAAGCCGTTGGCTATTTTTTAATAAATAAAATACAAATTATCGCTTGTTTCATCGCCAAAAGATATCTGAATCAAGGAACCTCCTGAAAAACAAATCCTCTGATAAATTCGACTTTATTACTGGTGGTCGAATCGCAATGATTTAAAATCCCGAGAGCTCGTCAGATCTCGGAAGCTTAGCTGGGTTGAGCCTTGACGGCACAAGGATGGGTGCCCACTGTGTATAACAACAGGTGTTGTAGGCCGGTGCGGGGCTACGTTGTAAGGAGAAGCCAGTGAAGCAACGTTACATTTTGTACGGTACTTTGCTTCGTTTATCTCCCCGCCTTCACACCACTTTGATCAGCACGTTGAAGTTCGGTCCATTAAGCTCCCTTTGAGCTGTACTGCGTGTGGAGACCCTCACCCAGCAATGAATTGACAAAAGGGCTAGACACGTACAAAACGACTTCACCTTCGTTGTGGGTGAGGCAATCAATCATAATGGGTTCGGTCACATTAAATCCTGAACATCAGTCAATAACAAAAATCAAGTCGGTATAATTCAACATTGTAATTCAACAAAGCGAACTGGATTTTAGAAAATAAATAGGGACATATTTCACTCGGCATTCCTTTGGCTTGTAAAATACAACAGTGCAATCTCACCGATAGCATTGCCATCCAATCTTGTGGATCCAGTGAATATTCTGCAAGACAAAAAAAAAAGTGAACGGCAATCGGCGAAAGCAGCTCATAAGTCCGAAAAGCGTACACCGATGATGCTCCGGAATAAGCGCTTTGCGAGCGCACAGCAGAGGAATTCGTCCTCGTTGAGTTGCAAGCGCACCTGTCGACAGCGACGACCACACTCTGCGAGCTGGTCTCTCCGATGGACTCCTGGATACTGGCAATCTGCTTTCGGTCTACGTTCCCACCTCCCAGCGGACCTGCCATCGCAGCACACACGATTCGCTCTCAGCATATTGCTTATCTCTCAACCGCGACTGCTATCCCAATTCATTGAGGTTTCTATGGCAAATGTGCTGGAGAGAGGAAAGGCTGCGTGGAAGGATCATATGGATATGGCGATTGTGTCCGCATCAATCATTGGGAATTTAAATGTTTATAAAAACTAGGAAACATTGAAATAATAAAGAATCGATTCATTGCAACTTATATGCTTGTACATTTTATTCCATTAAAATAGCGGTAGATTCAACACATTTTTGACTTTGCATGCATTACCCCATGGCAAAGATTTGAATTGTGAATTAACCGATGTGTATATGTTAACATACAAGCCAACTGGAAATCTCACTCGTAAGAACAAGCAAGCAGACAAGTCATTAACATTTGCGCGGTGGGCTCAAGGTGGCTCTAGTGGCTTGGGGATGATGTGGCAGGAGGAGTGATGGGAGGAGTGGTGGGAGGAGTGGTGGGACGAGTGGCAGCGGCGCAGTTTCTCACCGAGTCCGGTGAAGTCGTCCGTGGTGATGCCTGCGCCAGACGCCGTCCCCTCGCGCCGCCGGGACGTCCCCGTGATGTAGCGCGACTTCACACCTGTGCCAATCAGCTGTGCCAACTCCAGTTGGCTGATGCACTTGAGAATCTGGGTGGGGGTGGGGGGGGTACGGGGACAATCGGCCATGAACTCTGGGAAACTTCAGGATCCTGAATCATAATAAAAAAAAAGGTGAATCCCAGCAATTGCTTGCTCAGGTTCCTATTGCTGGAAGGGCCTCTACGAAAGTGAAGTTCAGATGCTAATTAGCCTACTTTTACACCCAGGCCAGGCGGCTTGTGTGTTCGTATGTTGAACTAAACACAAATATAAACATAACCTAAACACAAATGTAAGTACCAAAGAAATGAGTTTTCAATCTTGATTTTAAAGTGCATAGCTCCAGCGGCTATCCTAAAATGGTAAGATGTGGGAGTACCCACACTTTACACCACCACACGACTTGCTGATCGACTCGTTGTGGTGGTGTTGGGTGGACAGAGGCAGGTTGCTTTCAGAAACTTTCCCATAGTTTCAACTATCGTGCTCGGAGATCGAGCCGGTGACGCCTGGGATAAAAAGTTCAGTATTAAAAACAATCATTGCTTATTTTACCCAGGAAAAACTCAGTGGATTCTCAAGATTAATTTACAGGAGGATATCGCTTGGGATGTATGACAAAACGTACTGGTCATGCCGCCTCAAAACGCTCAAGGTCAAAGTCATCACGTGAAGTGGATTTTGTTAATGATTTACTTTTCATATTGTTAATCTTCACCCAGTTACAATTTAACAAGTTCTTACATCCAACATTTTCGAGTTTCAGATTTAATAGCACAAGAACTAATGTTGCTGCAAAACACATATCTTGTTCAGAAATACACAGGGCTTTGCTTATGATCAGCTATGCAAGCGTATTATTAAACAATGAGCCAGACTGGCAATAACCAGACCAATATAATAAATGGGTCTCTATCTAAACTTGTGATCCATCAACAACCCACTGCCGAATGAAGGCTGCTCCATGTTGTCCTAGTCGCGGGGGTTGTTTGACCACAGATGTCACCACGCCGGTAAGCGAGAGTTGAAGGGGTGCTACCGTTACATCAATCTCCATCCAAAAATCATCTGCCCAAGCCGAATCATGCTACAAGAAATTTATAATTTAATATTGATTTATGTTCGTGCAATAGTTTTGATTTCCCAAAAGACAAAGTTGATTTTGCTCTGATTATACGTTTCATCACCGTACTTGATTTCTTTGCTTATGTCAAATTAGTGACAGGTCAAGCTTGCAAGCGATGACTACCCTGTTATTTCGAGTTCTCGACCGATTAAAACCAAACAAAAGCTTCAACTTGAAATCGTACTGAGACAAGACGATTCACCGACGGACTCAGGGGCCGCGCGATGATATTCGTAGGGCGTGGGGACGCAACGGCGCCGCACAGCTCACCTCGTGCCAGGAGTTGCCCAGGTAGTTCCCGTCGGTGTGCGCCACCATGATGAGCGTCTTGATGGTGTCGATGTTCTTCTGCTTCATCTCGGTGATGCCCGAGTTGGCGGTGAGCAGCGTGAAGCGAGCGAGGGCCTGCACGTAGGCGTCGCGCTCCAGCTGCAACGACGACGGCGTTCGTTTAACTATCTTTCGGTTCAAACCACGGTTTGCTTGGCACAAGCAATAAGTGTTTTGACCTGTAGCATGGTTGGTTGAACACAAAATGGAGACAACTCAAGTGCAGTTGGTAGACCAAGTTCTGAATATGGGTGGAGGAATCAATAAGTGAAGTTAAATGGAGAAAATAACCATGGTAGTAGCGATAGAAGAGAGATAATGAGGCGACTGACCGCCAGTGAGCAAGTAACTGGACATGAGTGAGTGCTAAATCATCAGCTTTGTAGAGCAAAAGCACCTAGTTGCCTCCAGACACGTTTAATAACCAAAGACTAAAGTGAACAAAAAAATGGACTTGATTACCCGACCACTCCTATCTTATTAGACAGGCTAGTGCACACCTCTCCCTGGGGACAGGTGGGCTGTAGCCTGAGGCTAGCACCCACCTTGACCCCGAGGCGAGCACCCACATTTCCCCTTCAGCTAGAAACCCCGTCCCCGTAGTCGAGCGCTCACCTGCCCTAGTCTAGCACCCATCTGTCCCCTTCAGCTAGAAACCCCGTCCCCTAGTCTAGCGCTCACCTGCCCTAGTCTAGCACCCATCTGTCCCCTAAAGCTAGAAACCCCATCCCGTAGCCTAGCGCTCACCTGCATGTGGAAGATGCACGCGATGCGGATGGCCCCGCGGATGCCGTCCAGGCAGAGCGAGGCCACCTCGGTGTCGTCGCAATCCTGCAGGCCAACGCTGAACGCCGCGAGAAACGGCGTCCATGCGAGCTGCACACGCGCGCAAGCCAAGAAAAGTTGGCATATTTCAGAAGAAAAAAATCTCTATTGCAGCATCTTCTTGGTTCTTTCGGCAAAGCACGTAGAAGGGAAATAATAAAATAATAAAAATAAAACATAATACAATAATGATTTTATTATGTTTTAATAAGGCGCCTAAGCCATACTCCATCGAGAGTCAACTGTAATTTAAAAGCTTCGGCTGTCTGCGGTGTGCAGATAGAGAAATAAATGAACTGCTGCAATAGATTTCGATTTAAAGCTTTTGTGACTGCATGGAAATAATAAAATAATAAAAATAAAACATAATAAAATAATTACTTTAAAGCTTTCGTGACTGCAGGGATTCATCTTCTTGGTTCTTTCGGTAAAGTGACGTAGAAGGGAAATAATAAAAATAAAGCATTATAAAATAATTATTTTATTATTTTTGTTTTTATCGAAACCTATTGCAGCAGTTCATTTATTTCTCTATCTGCACACCGCAGACAGCCGAAGCTTTTAAATTACAGTTGACTCTCGATGGAGTATGGCTTAGGCGCCTGCACACGCGCCGGTAGATTATACACTCGCTTGTACTCCAACCCGTCCCTTCCTCGACTCACGCTCTCCCACTGCACACGCTCTACAAACGCACTCTTTCAAGGGTTTGAGATGCATGCTTTCACAAGTAACCTCTGGGCAGATAGACACAACGTGAGAAACTACTAAGTGACTGTAACCGACATAAAGGCAGCTGGCATTAAGCAAAAGAAACTGCTCAGAGTCTGCGAACACTGCTTGAATGCCTTGCAAGGGCATGTTGTGATTGTACAACGCAATTGTAAACTGCATTCCCAAGTTAACAGAGTTGATGCTTTAAATCCACTCACCAATGAGTGCACACAAACATCACCAATACAATTCGGCTTCACACTGAATTTGGCTAAATTTCAGCTATGACAATTCAACATATTGGTTTGCTCGGCATGTAACGAATGTTTCCCTGTTTAACACGTAGGCTTTGGCGACCAATATCATCCATAATAGAGGTTTTTGGGTTAGATCACGCATCTATGCCTCAAAAAGGAACGAAACAGTAAGACTTCTCCACAAATCTGGCTGTCGCCTGATGAAGCTAGTTGTAATTACTGTCGAAACGTACTCAGATAGTAAATGTTGTGGCTTGGCTCTCCAACACACCGGTGTGCTGTACTAGTGACGAATTGGCACGTTCTGTTTACGTGACAACCCTTACTAGTTGGCTGTGTCGGGTGGTGGCGGGTTTTAACGACACATTTATATATTTACGCGATCTAACCCAAAAACCTCTATTATGAATGTTTCCCTCTCTACCAGAACGAGTGGGAAAGTACCCCGCCCCTCCCCCCCACTAGTGTGTATAAGAGGTCACTTGAACACATTTCAGATGCAGTTCTGTAATATCCACTTCAGCAGACCTCTCTCTAACCAGGGGATGGACGCACTGCCACGTGAGAGTTCCAAATGGATATTTCGTCTCGCGAAAGCACGCCGATTGCGCAACCGGGATTAAACTTGGGAATAAAAAAATTAACCCGTAAAAACAAAGTTTTCCACTATAAATCCTTTATATGCGTGGCATTGGTTTTATTTTATTATTCATTTCTGTTTTTATTGAGTAAGAGTTTCATTTTTATCACATTGGTATTTTAAATTAAATATAAAAAAAAAAATTCCTAAAAAGTGGAAAATTTTTGAAAACATTTTTCACGAAAATAAATTGTCACGCACAACGAGTATGTGTGCAAAATGTCAGCTCGATTGGATCACGGGAAGTGGGTTAAAAAACGACCGAAAGATTTGCACGATCGTAAGCGCGCAAGCAAGTGAACTTAATATAAAGGATTTAAAAAAGAGGGGGGCGACGAGATGGAGCACCCCTCCCCGCCCGCCCGTCCCCCCCACCTTGAACATGGGTCGCACGTGGTCGAGGTGGGTGGCACTGGTGAAGGCCGCCTGCACGTGGCTCACGGCCTCCATCAGCGCCTTGGCAGTCCTGGACATGGCCTCCATCTCCAGGTTGTAGAGAAGCCGTCGCTGCCTCTCGCTCGCGACGTCTGTGCCGTGGCGAGCGGGGGGAGGAAGGGGCGAAGAACGCTTGGAGTGAGAATCAATCGCGCACCTCCGATTTGCACGGTTGGCTACGTAGGGTACAAGTGGCATCCGAACCTGTTCATGCCTTCCTCAAGTCAATACTCATTTTAACTCATATACTTGATCTATTTAACGTATTAATTTTTAGTAATTTTCTTTCTTTTCCTATACTTTGCACTCCAATTATTTGGTGTATTGTTTGTTGTTGCAACGTTCTGACCCCATGCCCCTGCTGGACAAATGTGAAAAAGAGCTTCATAGTTTATCGGATTTCTCCAGGACAAACAAAGATGCCGATTTTGGCGATTCTGAACCTAGCCTTAATTGAGTACCTCGCAAAGGCATGTAAATAACAGGAATAGGGAAACAATGGAGGTCGGGTACAGTGCTTGCCACACCACTCCCTTGTTGGCCAAATCGAGCCTTAATCGGTGCTCATGGACAGAATTTGAACTACCATTAATTCTAGTTTTCGTGACTGCAAAGATTCACTCGTTTTTTTCGGTAAAGTCACTTAGGTAAAAAACTAAATAATGAACCTGAAGACGGTGGAACATGAAGACGGAAGCTTGTGTTGCCTCCGAAACATCGCGATCTAATTTAGTTGCTTTTCATTTATTTATTTTTTACCTACGTGACTTTGCACTACCATGTGCACAAGAATCTCCAGCGTAAATCTGTAGCGTGCGAGATCGGGGGGGGGGGGGGGGAGCGTACTGGGCTTGGCCGGCCTGGAGATTTGTGCGAACTCCTTGGACTCATTCATTGCAATCTTCTTGCCGGCGATCTCGTCGTAAATGGAGGAGAGGTACTCCTCGGGCAGGTCCTTGCTGTCGTTGATACCCCGGTTCATTTTGATGTACTGCTCCTTAGACATCTTGTGCTTCACCTGTTTGCCAAGGGGCCCGCGTGTCATGCTTTTATTGCAAGAGCCGCACGAGATTTTGCATGCCGTACACTCCTTTTGTTTGCGTATATGCAGGACTAAATAGTGGGCACAGGAAAGTTTTTCGATTTATCAGCTTAAATGGTTTCTTGTGCTCATAATAGGCGAATATAGATTCGTACATTAACAATAAAACATTTTACGCGGTATATATGGAACTCTAACGTACACAGAGGAAGAACGAGACTGTATAAATTAGAAGAAAAAACGCATTGATCCTTAAATGGCGACCCAGAAGCTTGACAATTTTACAATTGATTGAGTCGCGGGTGGTGGGGGTGGATCGTTAAAAGTGGAGCTGTAAGTATATTCCTGAGACACTTGGGAAAACGATGACACACGACGCCTTGACAGGCTGATTATTAAACCACAGAAATTCCCGTGGGGATCCAGGGAGCTAATATCACTCCTTGGTGGATTTGGCGTGGCTAATGCGCTTTTAAAACACCGTTGTGGTCAGCAGATAATGAATGATACCGGAAATTGTATTTATATAAAGACAACACTCAGGCGAGTTAAATTTCGTGATTGCTGGGCGGTCCCAAAGAAGTTAATTGGTTTGCTTACTTGCAAGCTGTGCAGGTCTGTGGTGAGCATAATTATCGAGTAGGCCAGCACATATGCTGTATCCGCACTGGCAAAAACCGTTTGTCTGAAAAATAACAGGACAACCAGGATACATATATTACCCAGCGTTGAAACGAAACAGCATCCATCTCTGTGATACATAATTGCAATCAATGCATCAAATGCTGCCAAGTCGAAACAATGCAAACCGATTGGATTCAAAGTTGCTTCATCGGCACTCCTTAAGCGTCAAGAGCAATGCAACCGCACAATTCAGAGTTGCGTGAGATCTGCAGAGGAAGCGTCTAATTTCAGCCGAGTCATTTATCACAACAGATCAATGGCAATTAAAAACAACATGTATTTTACTATATTCTTGGTTCTTTCGGTAAAGTCAAGTAAAGGGAAACAATAAAATAATAATAAAAATATATATAAAACAATGTATTTTACTTAAAAGGAAATAACAGACCTTCATAGATAATCATGAAAGAAAAGTCGACAATATCCACTCCAACGTTTGTATAAATATATTAATATACTCACAAGACACAAAACACTCATCTATAACTATTAGTATATATAATGCAGATGTTGCTTCAACACTCCTCTTTGACATGCGAAAAAAATACATGGAGCTACCCACAAGAAACTGCAGGATAATGAACAATAATTGTAAATAAAACTCATGCAGCGCATGTATTTATTAAATGGTGCGGATACATTTTTAGACACTGCTACTAAGTAGGCCATTCACTTTTTCAGCGTCATTTTGCCCCTTGTGTCTCCATTGCAAAAAAAAGAGCCTCAATGTGTCATCGGGCTTTAAATATGATTACAAAGTATAAAGCACAGGCTTCTAAACCAAATCACACAAAATGCATCCAATAAATCTGGGCAAAGCGGTGGCTGGCTCATACAACCACCGTGCCCGAAACAGGTGTTACAGGTTGCCGCATTACCGCAATACAGAAAAAATGCATTGTTATACCGGACTATGAATCAACATCTATTCTCTCTGCCATCACCAACCCACACGAACCAGTAGAGTATCAAATAATTGCCATGCCCTGCACACTGTTTGGAGCAGTGGCGGAGCCAGTGGGGGGGGGGGTGGTGGAGTGGCACGTGCTCCCCCAATGATCCGATCAAATTCCCTAATTTTGATCGGATCATTGGGGGTTTGTTAGTAATAAATCAGCATTTTGCGACCCCTACTGCCACTGTGTAGCATATTGTTACGTGCCAAAGGGACTCTATAAGATGATAGGACAATAATCTGAGTCTATAATTAGCAATAAATAACGGCAAAGCAGTTATAAGTGACTCAGAATTGTGCGCAGTTGCGTATACAGTACACGATTTCCCTTAAGGCATACATACCTTCAGCGAGCGCGATGCAAATCACACACACACACGTCGAATAAAAAGCAAGGACAAGTCCTTACTTACGAACAACTCCTATCATTTTTCATTGCTGGAGTAGTTGCTGGATGAGGGCCTCCTGGTTTGGGGCCCTCATCCAGCAGTGGATTTACAAGAGGCCTGTACAAATACATATGTACATAAAGCATAGATACATAAACACAAAACAAGAACAAAGATGCCTCTAAAAACATGAATAGACTGCCGGGGCAAGTGCTGTTAACGAGCAACTATGAAGGCCGGCAGGGCACACGAGGGGGTTGGCTAACACCACGCCCGGCCGACCGCCTTTGTCTCCCCAGTGGCGATGTTCTCACACCGAACCAGGTACTCATTTGAGTAGTCGACCTCGGGAGGTCCTGGACCGGTTTAGATAATCGTCACTCGCGTTGGCCGTGAGTGGGAATCAAACTCAGATCGCCAGGTTTGTAGCACAGCGTGCTAACCGCTACGCTACTGCTCCCCACACACACACACACACCTCCGTAAACAGGCCCCCCTGCCAGCAACAGCCATGCCCGGACGCCGCATGAAAAGCGTCCGAGCACTTTCCTCGTGCGCTGTGTGTGTGTTGCACCAATGCCAACATCGGATCCCTCACCGTGACCCTGCAAAGCAGCATGCAGCACGGCACTCACCCCTGATTGCACTCGCAGAAGCGAGCGGCAAACTTCTCCATGAGCCTGTCAATCTTCTGGGCCTCTCCGGGCAGGCGGAAACCCTCAAGGAAGAGGCGGAGCGCCGACACAAAGTCCTTCCCGGAGAAGTCCATCTGGTCCACGTAAGTGTACATGGTCTCCTTGTTCAGCTTGTCATTCTCCCCGAGGTAGTCTCCCACCTGAGTCTGCAGAGACAGGCGCACACCAATACAGGCACATGCACACACACACACGAGCAATGAGGGGTTAAATATTGTGGAAGGCGGAGGCTGCCCCTTTGTCACACGTAGGTTTTTTCGCAAGCCAATTGTAACCCAATTGTGTGGTCTTCCGGGTTAGACCACGTGCTGAGCATTTCTTCGCTCAAGCCTTTGCCGTGTATCATTGCAGGCACGTCCAATCCCTCACGATGCCTGCAATAGAGTGGGCGTACTGCACCTCTTCCCACCGGGTCATGCTGGGAATTTCGTTGCTTTAAAAACGAGCAGCGATGCTAAAAAAAATCTAAAGAAATGTGTTGGATGCTCGACACTTTCACGCTGCCAATATCTCCCAAAGCTATAATTATCAGGTCGTACAACTGCAATGCCTCAGAGATACACATGGTGGCCCATAGGCCCCGAGCTGAGAAGTGACGTCACATTATATTTAATATACCGGCTATAATCACCGAGGAATGTCCGTCCTTAATGCTCGTAACGTCACTCCACGTCGACCAGCCCCCCTCATTAATAATCATGAGCAGGTGACGTCCTCCAAATGGACACCATCCCCATTATTATTACCTACTATAATGAGCCAAGAATGTCTGTGTGCAACGCTCGTGACGTCACTCCACGTCGACCAGTCCCCCTCATTAATAATCATGAGCAGGTGACATCACTCCACATGGAGCACCCCCCCCCCCACTCATAACAATTAGCAGCTGACGTCACTCCACATGAGGGGCCGAGGCGGCTCCTCCCCCCTCCTCGGCGTCAACTCACAACCCTCACTACAAAGGCAGAACCCCCACGTCACGTGATCTCTGTAGCGCTATTGAGACATCAAAGTAAAAAGGACGTCATAATGAACAAGGGATTATAACCTGAAAATGAAATAAGTCTGTGTCACCGCGCCCTTACAAACTGCACACGAATGGATGCAATGAATATCACGTAGCGGTCTGCTTTTCGCTTGCAAGTTTCAGATTTACTGCAATACACCCATCCTTGGACGGGCAAAAGGCGAGTTATTACAGATTTAGTAATTTGTCAACCAACTACTGGATGAACGTACATCCCAGCCGGATCAGTCATGGGGGTGATGACACCATATTTCCACCACACTCGTCGGTGCGAGCTGGAGAGGAGGGGGGGGGGTGAGAGAGACCCAGGAGTGGTTCAGATTGCACTTGCCACCCATGTCAGCCGTAGACCGGAATCAGACCCAGGTTGTCAGGATTCACAGCACAGTGCGCTGCTACTGCTCCCAACCCCATCAGGATATTACATTTCAATGTTTTTAAATGTGTAGGTACGGACGTCTCTACAAAACGTAGTTTGAACAAGCGCGAAGAGATATCAAGCACTTGGCGCGTGTGCATAGGCGGTGATCTGCTAACAAGTTTGTTGTTTTTAAACAAATAATGTATTGTCACTGCATGGGCACTTGTATGAATGTATGTGGACATGAATTAAATACGTCGTAAGAGTGCTTCAAAATTATCCTGTTAAATAGATCAACGTTATAAAGTTCGTCACCATGAAAATATATTAAATATTGATGGCCGAGTCGTCTGTTTCATTGTTTGCCCTGCATGGATGCGTCTGCATAGGACATGGGATACGGCGAGATAACATTTCACTTCGTGCACACCGCACCAGCGCTTTGAAAAGGAACTCAACATCCGCAGCCACACTACCCGTGACTAATTCTCCCTAGCTCCAGTCGATCCATGAAAAATCATATTATTACAGATGGATTCTTCCTATTATCCTCATTTCCATAGATAATACGAGTGTGATCCAGAAGTGGCAATAAATTCACACGACTATTATCATCATCATTATTTAATCTTAGGATCAACATCAATAGCACTCCCCCAGACACTTGAATAAAGTACCACTCTCTGGTAGTCTTCTCATTGGTGATCGACCACACATGAAGAAACTTTCAAAATAACCAACAAAGTACCAAATTGGGTAAAACCACAGATCAACAGCGCGACCTACTCGCAAACTGTGTACCGGTCCATGATAAAAAGCACCTTCGTAATAGTCCCGCGCTAAACAAAGGCAGAAAAATACCAAAATATATTAACTTTTTTCTTTATTATCAAGGGGGCGTACCGAGTCCAGTCGGTTCTCGCTGTGCAAGAACTGAGCGACGTCCTCTGTCGTGGTGCCCAGCATGTTCTGCTCCTGCAGGAACTGAATTCCGCGCTTGGGTTTCTTGTTGAACCTGGTGCGAGAACGGCAAGTTCGAGACAAGTTATGCACGTCGCACTCAATCAGCAGCAGCAGAGAACGTGGCATTTGATCCTTCACCTGCATTCTCCTTTGCGGCAGGCTGGGTTCATGTCTTACCGCAGCCAAAGCAATTTGCTGAGTGTATACTCCGTTTTATTGCATTTTGTTATTGCATTCGCTTCTGTATTTTGTTTGCTCTAATTTCACGTTACTTTGTTATTGTTTTCTTTAAATAGTTCTGTTGTTCCGCTATCGCGGTTATTTAAAGCGTGCATCACTTTTTACTATTTACACTCTGGAACCTATTGGTTGTACAATGTATTTAGTTTCATATTCTATGGGCCTTTCGGTAAAGTCACGTAGATAAGCAAAAAAAATAACAAGAAATAACAAAAAACTACTCCTGATGACGACCACTTGCGTTGCGATCGAAACGTCGTAGTTTTTTGTCATTTTTTGCAATTTTCTTTGAACCTATCTACGTGACTTTACCGAAAGACCCATAGAATATGAATTCCTTCAGTCACGAAAGCTTTAAGTCAAGATTTATTTAGCTTTACTTGGGTTTCACTTGATATTGTATTTCTATTTGTTATTGGGGGGGAAGAAGGGGACACATTGATCTTGCATGTTCTTTTTCAAAGGCGATATCTGGGTTGAGGAGGGTACAGGAGAGGTACAACAGAAAATGTCTTTGTTGTGATAAACTTTTACTGGTAGGAACCTCCTGGTTACACCAGCCCACAGGGGATTATTGTGTCCGTCGTGCAGGGAGGGGCTGGGTGGGGAGGGGCTGGGTGGGGAGGATGGGGCTGGGTGGGGGATGGGAGAGGTGGGGCTGGGTGGGGAGGGGCTGGTCACTCCGTGGTGCCCTTGTAAAACTCAACATTTAAACTACTCACGCCGGCTTGTGCCCGCCCTCACAGTCGGGCATATTTGCGGAATACACCACGCCGCCGTTGACCCTGCAGGCCATTGACCGAGCAACCCAACGTTCCTACCAGCTCCCTCCACAGGAATGTGTTTTGTTTGTGCTTTTTGTTTTGGTGACATTTCTTAATTTGTTTTTATTCATAGTAGGGTTTAAGTTTGCTTGGCAGTGGCTCTATATGGGATTTGGTCCTTCTATATAATTAACGTACGGTGTTACGGGAAGATATTCGCATGTATGTCACTACATAAAATGAATGTCTTTTTATTAATTCAACGATTCACGAAACAGCAGCGTCTAAAACGACAAAACACCTTGAGGGAGAGGAGGGAAAACAATAGGCAAAGCGAATCGCCGTTTTTCGTGTTTAGTTTGTTGTCCTTCCCCCGTCGCACCCCCGATTAGCACGGGTGGCCACGTACGCCGCGATAAAAGTTCAAAAAACGTACGCGTCGCAGAAATCAGTCGTGCTAACCACACTCGCGAGCGCTCGCGGCGCCCGCTGGGACGCGAACTCACAGCTCGATGCCCTGCTCGATGATCTCCTTCTGCTGTTTGAGGACCTCGAATTGCTCGGGGTTGTCGGCGCCCGACAGCTGCGTGCTCACGCTGCCGATGCCCGACGAGGCGGTCGAGTCGAGCGAGTTGACGCTGCCGTAGCGGCCGATGGTCTCGGGGTGGCGCGAGTCGACCGTCGCGTCCTGCTCCGCCGGCCGCTCCTGCCCTGTGTCCGCACGCACCAACGCGAGTGCCAGAATACCCGCGCACACACCCGCGCACGCACGCACAAACACGCACACAAGAGGTGTGGGGATGCTTCCCTGACCCGTCGTTTGTACAGAATCCATCAGAATCCTTTACGTGGACTGCGGGACCGCATGCACCAACGTGAGTGCCATAATACCTACGCACGAAATATAAAAAATAAAATTTACTTGTATCAGTCGGATTTATCAAGCTTGGGCAAAATGGAGGAAAAATAACAAAACAGTTCCAGACCACACCAAGATAACACAATCCCCTTCAATAACATGGCACGTTAACACCGTCAATCAAGGATCCACTGGGGAACAGAGGATTACACAGAGGTCCATCTGGGATCCAGAGAGAGAGGGAGCAAATGAGATCCACGGAGATCCAAATGGTTTCCACCATTTAAGATTACATAAGCTTACTTCAACGTTCCCACAAAATGAAAAGTATTCTTTTGTACCGGAGGCCATGCTCGATGCATTTCATGGATCTGTGCTGCCACAACACCTCGCCCTTTCCATCTCATACTTTCCTGTAAAAGTATTTATTTCGTGGCACCACATCTGTCCAACATTCTTGTCGACGTTAAGTGCACGGATTTACGATGCGCGTGACCACGAGTGTTCTGTTTGCCCTGCGTTTCGATGCACTATATAGATGCACCGCTGAAGGTTTCTCTACAAAGTGTGGGTCCCGTGGGGGGTTATAAGACCACACTTCGCCGCGCTGGTCAGTGGGAGTTGGCGAAAGTGGGGAGCACAGATGTGGTAGAACAGATACACAATGATAATGGAGATTTTACTGCACTGCTGCTCACCACGAAGCCACGCAGCAGCCAACCTGCTGCAAATGCGGGTCACCCATCAATGCACTATCAAGGCTTATGCCCTGATGAGCTTCTGAAATCGGATGACAGAGCGCATTCCATGAAATGTTTTTCACAGGGGGATGCTCCACATGAACCATTATTATTCCAGCACAAGCAGCATATTTATCTTTTCTTTAAAGCAATTTAACGGACGACCTTTCCGCAAGCCGGTGTGTCAACATTATTTATTATTTATATTATTCACCTCATGCGGGGAGAAAATAAAGTAAGCAAGCAGGCAAACAGAACGCAGTGAATGCTATTTCGTCGTTTCTCTCAGCGCGTGCGAGCAGGCAGCGCATGAGGGTAGAGATACCAAGCTTACCTAGATTGCTCTGTGAGTTTGGGTTGATGTACTGGTCCCTACTCCACTCCACCATGCACTTGAGGATGGACACCAGACAGTCCAGCCCCTTCTTGCGAAGGCTCAACTCCTGCACAGATTGAACAGCGACATCAGCCGACACGACGCAAACTCTCAACATTAACTGCCTCTTACTGGCAGGCGGTTGAACGCAGGTGTGTTTAAACTATCAATTATTTTTATTTTACCAGGTCAGCCCCACTGACCTATACAGCTCTTTTTTCAGAAGCGGCCTGGCCACAAATGATAGCTCAACTTAGTGGCTTATCATCATGTGGAAATGTATAGCAGCCAAATACTCTAAACACATGTTGATTCTAAATGTGGAGGGAAAAACCGGAGGACCTGGAGAAAAATCCACTAAATCAAGGGAAGAATATACAAACTCAAAATATACAAGCGTCAGGGTCGGGATCGAACCCACGACCTCCTGTATACCAGGCGAGGCAATTAACATCTCACCACCATTTCTCGCAATTTAAAACCGCAAATCGTGACATCGAATCGCTGGAGGGATGAACTTATGCGTGCCTACGATCCACAAAGCCTCGGTGCTTCTTATACATTAGGTAGTCACTGGAGCGATGGAATTTTAAATCTAGATTGAAAATAATTTCTTGAGAATTGCTTTTTGTGCTTAGTTTGTTGTCCTTCCCCCACACCTCCTATTAGCACGGTTGGCAACGTACGGTGCATTAGTGGAATACGCTCATTTAGTGCCATTACAAATTAAGTCTTTACACATTTCTCCGCACCTGGTTGGGAGTTATGCCGAGCTCCTGGCCACTCCGCCCCTGGGCAATCTTGGACAGGTCGTTCACCAATCGCTCAAAGATGTTTGCAGCATTGAGATCGCAATCATAGTTTACGTAAATGTCCACCACGCACTGTGCATCTGCAAGTGCGGATGGGGAAATTAAACAACCAGACACAAGTATTATTTTCATGATCATAATCAGATGGCAAAATGTTTTCTTAATCACATACCACGTCTTCACCTTTAAACAACGCTATCTTCCCTTCCTTTGGAAGAACATTAGTTCTCATATTATAACTAATGATTAGATTAGGCTGAATTAAGTAGAATCATAACAAAAAATGCATATGTCTAAATTAGGCTATGTCAACTAAGACTCCATCCATTATCCAAAATAAAGATTTTTTGGGGTGAGATCCCGTAAATATGCGTCGTTAAACCTGCCACCACCGACACAGCCAATTAGTAAGGTTTGTCACGTATATAGAACATGCCAATTCGTTACTACTAAATTGACAATCTAATCCAAAAAACCTTTATTATGGATAATACAATCCATCCATTCTTTTAAAATGCATCTATACCTATCCAATATTTTTAACCGCACCTGCGCAAATTCGCGTGAGAGTCTGAATCACCATCCACTTGTGCTCAAATGAGCTTGAGGACGTCTCCAAGATGTTGAGAAAAATCTCTTTGAAGAATACCTGTGGGTGGGGGGGGGGATGGGGGGGTGAAGGGAAAAAAATTAGCCAACACTGCCACGTAGTCGGTCCCACGAACGCAAAACAAACCCAACAGAAACTCGCCGGTCAAAGCGCTCACTTCGATCTGCATCTTGAGGTGGGTCTTGAAGTTGGACAGGAGGGTGAGGAAGATGGCGAGCGAGAGCTCAAAGACCTCGGGGATGGAGGACACCCCGTTCTTGGACAACGCGACGCACAGGTACTGCTTGATGGCGTTGATGAACATCTCGTTGGTGCGGAACACTGGCCCGGCGTTCTGGAGAACCGACAGCAGCAGCTGCAGAGATAGGATCTTGGAGCGCAGCTCGTGAGACCTAAGATGGAGGGATGGGGGGGGGGAGACATTTCGACTCGTTTTTTTAATCAATAAAAACGTTCACAATCGATCAGTGTCAGACGAACTGACATCCACTCGCACTTAGCGAGCAGAACATAAGAATCGCATTGTTCGTCAGGGCCATATTCACGCATTAATGTGGACCTTGTTATGTCATTACTGACACCGCAACGCGTATTCCTATCAGTCGGTGGGAAATACTTCCTACGGGTTTATAACCCCATGGCTGCGTATCACTCCGGACACGTAGTCAGAACAATCTGGGACGCACAGACGAATGCCTATCCATTACTGATTTTAGAGTGTCTCTGGGTACCCGAAACTTTGTAAGAAACTATCGAAATCCCAGAGAGCACTTTGAGAGACGCCTCACCGGGTTTCTTCCGTTACTAATGCCGCGCAGCATCTTGTCGACACTACTTCCGGCGTCAATTGTTCTGCTACAGTACTATAGATGTGCGCTCGATCATAAGGACTAGCCTTGCTAAGCATCAACATATTTGATAAAATTAAATCATTGGAAGACGGGGCCGGTGTGCGAGGACATTAGACTGAATCCATGCAAAGAGTGTGACATCTACTTAGTCCAGCCCTATAGTGGCTTTGCTTCCCTATTAGAGTATCACTTTTAATTAAACTCAATCAGGTTTTCCTTCTAGTATGTCTTCCAAAGCATTAGTTATTCGACAATGTGTAATTTCGGCTCCGTATCGCTAATTCAAATAGGCGCCAGGGGTGGCAGCTGTGCTAGTCTTTGATATTTACCGAGAGGACTCTGCCATAAGTCGCCCCCGCACGGCGGACGTGAAACACGAGTTGAGTCTATTAGCCTCCCATCAATGATTGGTTGGCACGAATCTGGTGGAAGAGAAATTACCCTTTGGATGGGGTATTGAGTGCTCGAGGCTTTACTGCGGATCCATCGAAGCCTTCGTCACATATCTTGTTCCTATCGGGGAAATACTCCCCTGACGCATGACGTTGCAATTTCTCCGTTTCCGGAACTTGTGACGAAGTCGAGAACGGACCTAGTCCCCTTTTGTCCTACTTTCTTCAAAGCTCATGAATTAGAAAGGCATAATTTACAACACGGCAGGAGGACGCTGAGGCGACGTCATAGTGCGTTTGAGGACCAGAGAGGACCACGTAACCATCTTCATACTTGAGTACTCATTACAGATAGGCTGGCTAGCGCGCTTTGCATTGGACTTAAGGTTTGCTTGCATGTAGATCCAATTACGTAATAGCCCAATGATATTGACAACTACAAGTCGGCTGCGAACCGTCACATATTTTGGAGGACCCATACACGTCTCTTCACATAGACGGTCAAGATTAATGTTCTCTATCCGTCGAGACCATCCAAACGCCACCTCAAGCTTACAATTACGTCCTGAAAATCCGCTCGATTCTCTTACACGTTAGAGCTCATGTGTCGGTTTCGGGCTAGCATCGTGAATAGTGGCCAGACGTCTTAACGGCAGGGGAGGTGAGGAGTATGTTATTTCTTTTATCTCTAGCAAAAGCAGGTTCTTTGTAAAGGACCCACCTTTCTGAGTTTGAGCCCAGTTTATCAGCTGCCCATCCGGGACGCAGGCTTGGGTGGATTGGCTAATTAGCTCGCAACTCACGGGTCCGCGGTATATTCCACGTGCACGTCCCAGCGGATGCCCGATCCAGGAGGGCGTAATCTCAGCAGTCGGTCATTTTCAAAAGTTGCATGGGCCGCGCATTTAGGCAGGCGGCTTTTCCTTGGGGGTACTTTCTTATACTGGACTTGGAGGCTATGCCATCGTCTGTAACATGGGACTACGTACACTCCCGTCCATCGGAGGCTTCGTATGAGGATAATAACATTTTATACGTGGCCGATCACGTCTCCTCTGGAGTTATTTGCCTGCAAGGGGCTATTAACACTAAGCCGGAAAGTCTATGGTCAGCTAGCTCCGCCAATGTGAGCGCGGCGCTGATGTTTACAGGCTGCTCTCGTCAAGTGCAAGGCGAGTAGGTCTCTAAAATGACCTATGTTTTAGCGATCATGGTGCGTCGCCCCCTTCTTGCGGCGGAAAGACAAGAATATTCTAAAACACCAGTCGATGCATTCTTCATCACATTGTAAATTGGGGACACACAGACAAAGATTCTAGAATATGCCTTTCCCGGCAGGGCGTTGGATGTGATACCTTGTGGGTTAACTCTACTCGCTGTGCACGAGTGTAATTTCCCGTACCCCTTCTATTCTCATATTAGACTTGTCTATTACACTCAATAGGACCTCGCCAGATCCTGCTAAAACGCCTAAGCGACACTGTCCTCCATTCCGAGCTCCCACGCCGTTGTTTCTTCGCTTCGAGAGATTCTACAAACCTTGGCAGTATAGTCTCGGGACCGAACTGGGCGCCTAGATATGCGGATAAGTTTTACATCCGTTAGTTACCACGAGACTATCGGGGATGCTACCAGCACGGTCTGCTCGTCAACGTTTGTTGACGTGAGACGTCGTAATCCCATATACTAAATACATCCCAGTAGCACGATTGACGATCGCATAGATGGAGCAAATCCCGGAGAGTCTAGACATACTTTCCTCATAGTCCCGCAAGTCAGTGTCTCGTAGGTCAACGCGCAAGGGGTTCAAAGTCCACTCTGGATTGAAACAAGGTAATGCTACGCGATGGTCTTCCGCGAACCAAAATCTCTCCACGAGGTCAGAAATCCCAGGCTCATCACTCTGATGCTAATTGGCGGGCGGCATCAGGAATCGTATGTCCTCGAATTGTCACGCGGTCCCCTGTTCCTTCCTGTACGAAGTTCGACGTCTGGGTAACTCATGGGACTTCCGCACATCAGCACGCTCGATTGCCGTCTAGGGAGGAGTGGCTATTCTCGAAACCATCTGATACGATAGCCTGACTGGTTGGCGTTCATTCATAGGTTGAGTTTTAGTTGCACTGTAGGACGCCATAATTGGTGATCTCAGTGAACCTTATTTAACAAAATCGAAATATTCGCGTGTACGAAGCGCTGTACTGGTACAGTTATGTTAGGCTGTATGAATCAACCCATCAGGCATCCCTTGATCTGTTGCCCAGTGACGGAGCTTTTGTGGAGGACTGCCAACACCTGTCTTCACGAGTGAATGAAAAGTTTCACCCGGGGCTGATCTGGTAGGGCACTGTACGGTAAAAAAGGCGACCCTCGTTTCATCCTGGATATCAAGGACGTTCCCCAAGTAGACTACTCAGTAGGCCTGATGCTAGCATCAACGCCCTCCCTTCGTTATTGTACCCTGGCGCCCACGACGTCAAAAGCAACTTGGCACTATACCATCGAGTCTGGGTTTGCCTTAATAGACTATGGAGTGTCTTGGCGTTAGTAGAGAGTAGAGGACATTCTTTGCTCCCCTCCGTCCCGTACTATATTGGCATGTATTATTCTTGTTATCTGTGGTGGTTACGCTGACCGCGTCTTCGGCTTCAATAGTGGTGATTCCTGGGCTCGCGTCTGATGCACAAGTAATAGGAGGCGTAGCACTGGAGCTGCCCTGGCCCCCTTGACTAGAATCAGTCATTCCGGTGGGGATGACACGGCGGAAACTAGATTTCTAACGGCTGACCGTGAGAACAATGTCCTGTACTCTGAGACAGTTCTCTCCCCTCGCAGTCTAGATCAAACCTAGTTTCCCACCTCTCGGTCAACGCTACGGTCGAGTGTGACGGGGGCTTTAGAGGGTTGCCTTTGGTGATCTTCAGCCACCTAGCTGGGGGCCTTCGCAACTTGCCCTATTTATACATAGTGTGCAATGTGTTAGACACCGTAAGCCTGGAACTGTCTGTGTAGAGGCCAGGAATGCCAAACTGATTTTCGAAGGCAGTAGAGGGGCAGCGGCCTTTGACGACCAGGCTGTTTGCGTCCGTTTAGGTCTCCGCGCTCGTCGAAGGAAACTTTACACCGCTTCAATGCCCTGTGGTGACAATCCTTTCGTTGAGCAATTAAGGAGGAGAAGCGTTCCAGAACCCACCTTATACTATTATGAGTGTTTCTCATGTGGGAAACGGCGGTTTGAGGCAAGTGGATCCGCGCAATAACTGCCGCGTGCCACTCCAGAATCATTGATCCCAGCTGACCCGTAATTACTATAGTCTAAGACCGTCGTCCTATAATCATAACGTCTTGGGCTAATTGTCCTGGTAGACGCTTGTGGCTCGAACTTAGTGAGTTTCATTGAAATTTACACGTGAACTGATACGCTGTGCGAGCCTCGGTGCCAACCGGAGACCATGTGGGCGGGGTATTTTCACTGTTTGGATAGGCTATTGGAAGTATACCTCGGAACATCTCGCCAGTTGTAAGCTAAGGCCGTGATTAGCTGGTGGGCCAATTGGCTTACCTAGAGCGCTGTTTTGTTCCGTCCTGGAATTACACCCTAGCTGCATGAAAAATCGACAGTGTAATTGCCCCCCGGCGATCCTGGTGCTGTGAAGTTTAAGTGAATACGCAAATTCTTTGTGTTCCTCGGAGCTTTTCCAGCGTATCCCCGTGGGATATCGGGGTCCCTCCCCAACGGGATTAAGAACAACAGATCACAATACATTGGCTTCAACTCAACAGGCATGAGACATGTGGACGTCAGCAAGCGACTTGTAACTAAACCTAAAGCTCGGGAGAGATTACGGGTCAATATCCTGCCGTCCAAATAAGCATTTACAGTCCAGTCAGGTGAGCCAGCTTAGCTTATGGCCCGACTGAGGGTCTTCCGGTTGGAGTCGCGCTCGGCCATCCATTTGGGAAAAATGCGACGGATTAGTGTTTCAATCGTTATTAGCTTTACACTTGACACCAAAATTCCGAGAAAGAGGTTAACACCACAACAATAATGACAGGTGAGACAAGCACGCTGTTGCAAGCAATAGCAGTCGGGTGCTAGCCCAGCCATCAGGGAATTTTGAATTCCGTCCTTATACCACCTATTACGAATACCACAAAAGGTCGGTCAGGGCTTCAGTCGGAAGCGCCGGCGTTTATGCGAATCTATAACTTCACAGCAGGAACACAGAGTTAGGTTGTCGGCTTGGATATTTCATATCCTACTGACCACGTTGTGTCCAGCACTTGTTCTACTCGAGATCGCGTGTGCACCCGCGACCGAGGTTCTTAGGGCGTCCCAATACTGTAGATAGCCGAGACGCGTGTGGGTGGTGACCCTTAACAATCTGTGGACTGCATAGTCACCGACCTGTTGCGACGTAACTTCGATCAGAACAAGCCGACACTTGAGAGAATCCGACCCAAGCACGTAACAAGTCGTTGGGCTACATGGCGTCTTGTCAACTCCTGGGGACGACCTAGGACCATCGACGTGAGCGGAACGCGTTGGCATGTGGAGCTTATTTAAGGCGTTGTGGTGCGTTTACAGAGTTTGCAGGTTCTTATGGTTTGACCTCACGGTCCGAAGTCGCTATCGCACCAAGTACGAAGTCCCGAGGCTTTCAACTTGAACAAATTACGTCCATATGGCGCCAAGCAGGCACAACCTTGGTGATCAGTTTGAAGTCGGTCACGGGGGTCACGCAGGCGGACTGTCTTCCGTCACAGTCAATTCGAAGGGCAAGTCCACGGCTCTTCCAAGCGATTCAGCGCAGCAGAACAGCGAGTTAGCCACTTTTGGGCGGCCTCAGAGCTGGCTCTACATACAATCGGTTGCACAAAGACGTGGAGTTGACAGTTACCGACCGTAACTTTGCATTAGCGTCTGGCGCAATTGCAATTCGTATGTTTTGGCACAATAAACGGTCGTTCGCTTCCCTATTCCGTGATAGGTTATTGAGACAAGATATATTTGCGACAGTTTAGCCACTTAGACGTTTCGATCGCTTCTTATACCTGACTTTCCGAGTTCATCCTGTTAGGGACCCCATCGCGGTTGTCGCCTCCAATGAACCGGTTACCATCGCAGTAAATAATATGATTACATTGGACTGAATTCTAACGTCTCATACCGCTCGCATACCTCCACAACTCTGGCGGCATCTAAAACCACACGATCATTGCGTTGGGAGCTCGACGCCATGGCGCCAGCACTGAATGTCGGGTTCATGTCCGCGGGTCTGAAGCCCCGGCCACTTAACCCTCACTGGAATTACTGTACCACTTTCTTGACGAGGATTCGAACTGCAAGTATTTTTGACATCCAACGAGATCCCGAATATCAGCAGTGAGACCAGCGTAGTTGACAACCAGAGCCTAGTCGCTACAGTTTTGTCGTTTACCGAATTTCAATGTGGTGAACGTGAGCAGCACAATCACATAACAGCCCCATCCGACATTGTTATGAAAATGAAAACAGTTTTGCCTTGATCCAGTAACGAAACCATGGAATTCGATTCCTCAAATACAATAGACCAGGGTTAATATTGTTCTCTTTAAAGCTGGGGTGCGGGATGCAACACGATAGGGACGACGTAATGAACCCCCTCTACCGGAACTGTTTATACAGCAACTCCGGCACAGTTGCATCAATTAATCTGCGGACAACCGGCCTGAGGTGTCGCGGCAACTACTTCGTATAGAGAGTCGCAGTAAAGCTCATGGACGTAAGGTTATGTCGCGCCCAACTGAGCAGTGTATCGCGGTCAACTCCGTGCGCTTAACTGCCTACGTCGGGTAACGATCGTCTCCAATAGCCCAAGGCTCTGCGCTGCACAGCAGTAATGCGACATCGTTATATGCGTTGCGCGAGCCAAAAGCCCGGCGTCTCATAGCCCTTTCTGACTTACGGCCGGCGTTTTACCCAGAGTTCGGCACGGAGCAACTGGTGCACGGGGACATACTGTAGTGATTGTTCTCACCACTGGCAGGAGGTGTTCTCCTTTTAAGGTCGACTCGAGTACCTATCGATAGACTTGTGTTCCGCATGTTTTACACACCGATGCCTCTTAACTGAGGTGTCGCGCGATTCACGCTGAGCTCGAGGCGGGAATGAAGCAGACTTTACAGTCTGTTATGCTACAGCTTCATGGAGGCGATTGGGCATAGCAGAAACCTCGCAGCCAGAAAGGTCACTCGGACAGTGGCTATTCCACTAACGCGAAGCCAAGTTTGAAGGGCAAATGTATTTACACGTACCCCAGGACCGACCGCGAGCAGCTGTGCACGCGTCAGCGTTGTAAGCTGGCTTAAGGAGCAATCTTACCACGTTCATATGACCTGAACACATAACTGTCTCCCAGTCTACATACTCCCAACGTGCATCTCTATTGGAAATTCAGTCCAGTCCTGACTCCAGGAGAGTATCCCTATTAAATCTTGACGAAGCACTTTGATCAGCTTGCAAGATCTAACCTTAGTCATTCAATCGTGAGCGAATACGGATACTAGTGTAGATGCAGGGTGCTGCTTTTGAATGAGCGCTTAAGGGAGGTTGTAGCACCAAATCCCTGGACAAGATAAACCTCCCCGAGCACGTCCACGTTATCGAGAGCGATCCATTTCATCGCGAGCGACGCGTCGTCTCCATAGATACCGCTTACCACCTGATGTAGGCTGGTTTCAGTAATTCGGTAAGTTATGTAGCACGTAGATGCGAACATCCACGTAAGCACCAAGCCGGGTACTGCATGCGAACGAGACCTAAATACCAAACGCCAGGTGGGGACGCGTTGGTCAGAACTTTTGAATTTTAGGCACTAACAGGGTAGAATTTAGTCGGCGTGGTATCGTTGAGAAACCGCGAACGGAGATTATAATACCTTTGATGGTAACATGCTGTAAACTATTCCATATTGCTTTTCGAGTCCGGAAGTATCTCGCGACTGGCCGAACTATCGGTCAACCCCAGAAATAGGATACTGAGCCCAACTGGCAAGTATACGGACGCAATTTGAACGTTGTCGTTTGCCCAGTACGATGTAGTCATGTTCCTGTAAATTAGTCTCCGACAACGATTGCTTAACACTCCATTTCTGATACGGGGGAGTGTCGTTTATGTCGCTCAGCTCTTGTAACTCAGCAACTCTGCGGCCTAGATACCGGAAAATCAGGACTAAACGGTATCGCAGTGCTAGGGCAGTTAAGTTGTGGATTCTTTTCTAAACTCGTTGATCCCCAAGCGAGACAATATCGGTTTCTTGTATTTAAGTTTGTTCGGCGCGTTGGTAGCCTGTTGCGGCTTTTGCTAATCTCAACGCCGAACCACACAAGTTCCAGGTGAAGCAGAGTCTATGACCTGCTTCCCGCAACCTCTCGGCTGGGATCTGCCGTCTATCTCTCCTTGATTCCTAACCCAAATTAACTATCGTCATAGAAACTTATTTTTCACGCTGACGTCTATTGAATCGGCAACGTTCCCTCTCAACTTGTACACTTTCGCTTGGTGGTCAAATGTCAATATTCATCGCCCATTCCGGTTGGCTCAATTGGTTAAAACAAGCACATAATATAGATCACTGTCTTGACCCCCATTCAGATGCCTTCTGAAGCCATTTCTCGGGGTTCTCTATGGTTTGGTGTGTAACTGGTGGGTAGGTGGACTCCTTAAACCCTTAGCCAGGTAGACGTCACCGCAGCTGGTGAGTTACCGTATGTCTAAGCGATCGTGCGGTTATGTAATGGCATTTGGATTAACGGACGGTACGCAATGTAACCCGCGTCCCATGATTAGCCCGTTCCCGTCATAGCCTGGTAAGTTTGGTATTCCTACATGCATAAAGGTCTGGACCCTCGAACCCCAGCAACACATTACAGCAATGAAATTCCTGGGTCTCGGGCGTGACTCGATTAAAACTAACGAGAATTTTTACCGAACTTTAACCGCGGGCAGCTCGCTAATTGCAATACAAATTCAAGCCTACCGCGATTCACCTCAAGGAGGGCCCATACCCGTAAATCAAAGGCTTGGCGTTATTGTTAGTATTTCAAGAAACGCTGATTGTGGGAACTTCGCGTAGGCACACACAAGTTTATTGCAGGGTTTTATAGTAAAAGCATGCCAGGACGCCTTCGCGATGAGTAGACTTCATAGGATTAACGGGCACATGCGTACGCGAAAGTGATAAATAACCTTTTATTCAAATAAGGAAGACCCTGACTCACCCCCGCCATTAATCACCTGATGCGCCATGCATCTAGGTATCCTATGTACATGTAACCACTCCCCAGCGTACTATCGCGCGATGAACTGAGTACCCCTCAACGGCACCCCTGGATTACTAAGTGCGATCCGACTAAGATCTTATTTCCACACTGTGCCTTCTGTTATTTGAGACTGGTGTCGACCGGTGATATTGCACTTGTGTAAGCACCTAACGGAGACCTCGCATTTCTTTTTGCAGCCCTAACGGAAGAGATTATGTATTCTAGCCACTGGACGGAATCGGCTTATGGTAAGTACCTCAATTTGACTTAGGGTAACCGGTCAGCCTCTCACTGCTAAAGGTCCGGTCGCCCTAAGCTCGCCCACTTGTGTTCTTGACAACAATCATTAAGGGTTCCCTTCTCAGAATTGGAATGTGCCCCCTTTCCGACATGCTCAAGATAGACTTATCAGCGGTAGGAACTATAACCTTAGCCGTCGGTAGCGCGACTATTATTCTGTGTGATCCACGTAAATCGCGCCATCCTGGAAAACATATGGGACCCGCTTGGGGGCCGATGGGCCTATTGGCACGACGCGCTTGCACCATTAGACCTAAGTCTATGGCTAGACAGCTACAAGCTGCCAAATGTCTCCAGTACCAAGAAGGTAATTGTAGAAAGGCTTGGCCTGAGAGCGTGGGGTCTAATCACTACGGAAGTTGAGCAGTTAAGTGGGGCAAAAAGATATCCTTCCCTACTATTTGACGCTATTCGAGCGAAGGGTAGACACTTACCACGTGAGGTCGTAGCCCACACAGTAGAAGATGCCCTAAGTTTTAATCCGCCAACGCGTATTGCTAAAGGTTGACCCCCATCCTCGTACAGACCGTCGCCACTGGTCACTCCTCGCACAACCAATGCAGCCTTCCAACGAATCCTGCCGTTTAGTGAACTGAGGCATGACTTTGCACCCAATCCCCATCCCAGTTGTTAGGAGGCGACCATACTCGCGGCTGCAGCCTCCCCGACTTGAGGAAATACCAGATTAATACACTCTTGTTTACCTCAGCCGGAATCCCGGTGACCGCGGATCCAAAGAATACAGGGTCGTATGTGAAGATGGCACGACGAAAAGTCTGTAGGGTATTAGGTGGGATCAGCCTCATTTCCCTAGCGTCGAGAGCCCTAAGACGGTAGGGTCTGCAGGTTATCTAAGAAGCGTATAGCGTGATAACCTACTCGCCAGTACTGTGCTAAGCTGACTGTGATCTTGAGAAGTCGTTGTACTGTAGACGACCCCAAATTCTAATAAGGAATACGTGAGCGAGTATACACGCTACCATCCTTCCTGCGTTGCCCCAAGAACTTGAGTACCTAGACCCCCTGCGTGCAACGTGGACCTTCCGAGTCGGCATCTGTTTATTAGACAGCGACCCCGGGTGTTGTCGTTGTCGAGTACCCAGCTGTCCAATTGAAGTCTTATTACCGTTGGAAGTCTCGAGACGTAGTGAACCCCCATCGATAGTCCACCGAGTTCTCTTTCGTGGTATGGAAGTCGTTGATTATATGATGCCCCGTCGCCTTGAGTCATGCCTGAAAGGAAATCTTCGCTGTGAACCATTGGACCATTATTCCAGGCCGAACATCACACTGTCTCCTATATACGAATAGAAGAAGTCCCATTAGGTCCGATTTAATTCAGAATGGCATAGCTCGTGGGTTGGAGCGCCGGCATAGCGACCCGTGAAGGCGATACATCAAGAGTTTGTTAAGACAAGCTACAGCAGATGCGAGAAATCAACAGGAATATTTGCGCTCTGTAAACTCCCTTTCAAACTTAGACCTCTAGCGTCAAAAACAGTGGATACGGTGGATAGTAAGATATGCCGCCGGTCCTAAAAAGACTAAATAGCACCTTCCCTGTGCATCCCTTTATTTACTATTTTGCCATGACGTGCCTAATTGATCATGCCGCTTTTGTCCTCAGTCCTCCACAGC